TCAGCCAACCTCAGCTCCACCCTTACACCTCTAATTTTGGATTAGCCGGGAGCCAGCGGAGTCAGGACTGCCAAGATGGCGACGGCCAGAGCCGACCAGACTGAGAAACCTGTGGCTGACATCCATGTTTGATGCAGGATTTCTTCCTCATCCTTGCCGCTGTGTTGCAAAAGCGCTCAGTACTGCCTCTGTAGGCCAGGTGAATTACACATGGTTTGTTTCTACTTAAATGGGAAAGTAAATCCTGCTGTGTTTTTGTTTTTTTCCCATCTTACAGAAGACTGACTGAAGCAGATAGCTTGCCTTCTGGTGCATTTGTATTTTTCATGTAACAAATTTTATGATCTGAATGACTCAGATGTCCAGGTTCTGACAGATGGTGATCCAGGGCTGTGATATGTAGAATGACAACCCAGCATCAGGGCTAACGCTACCCGTAAGCGTTCAGAGATGGAAGAGAGTATTGACTATACTGTGTTAAATAGGTTGACAGAGTATGGAAGTTACTATTTCATTTTGTAATGAGGAATGGAGCTTCAACCTGTTTAATCATTGACTGGTTAGGGTTAAGAATTGTATTTTGTAAAAACAAAAACCCTTATCTTGTTTTTACAGTAAACACAGTATTCAGCAAAAACTATTTTAAAAAGATGACTGCAATCTTGCTTTGGATTTATGGTGATTTACCACCCTGATGAAGGCAAGATAGCCTGACACACAATAACAGATAACCTTTAGTGAATAAAGCATCGGAGAAGAGTTGTGAGGTGTGTTTTAATTTTCCTGCAAATCCACACTCATGGTGTGCACAAATGCATTTCTTTTTTGTACAAAAAATAAACAGCAACCGAACTCCAGACAAGACTGCAGCTGCAGCCTGTTGCTATGACAATCTACAGACACAGTGAGGCAAACCTCTCCCCTCTCATGCAGACAGGGTTTGAGAACCTGGAGCAGAAAATGAGCTCCAATGCTCTCTTAATATTGACTCAAGGTAGAGCAACACAAACACACTCTCTCTCCTCAAAAAAAGCCCCACGCAGGCTGCCCAATCACAGCCTCGCAGGGTCACAGTGATCCGTTGTAACCCCCGCCACCATGCGCTCTCTGCTGCTCGCTCATTTCATATGCGCTGGCAGACACTTCATATAGAAAATAACCCAGCAAATAAACGGAGCAGGAGAAATTCCTCAGGAGCTGATGTGGAAAGTTGCCTCTCATCTAATTGCATGTTGTTCATGTTCAGAGGAGCGGTCTTGGAGACAGCCGGGGGTAGACGTGTGTCACTCCGGTTGATGCCGGGGTGACTGATTGCACCTGAAGCTCACATAGGGTTCAAGATTTACTCAGCTCTAAAAAAAAAACTCTAAGTTGTTTTCTGCGCGTGTCTTGGACCTGGAGCATAGCTTTAGGCATGTCCTACCTGCACTTGGCCAAGATACATTAACACAGGTCCAAAACACACTTCACATGGCCCGTGCTGAGCCACACTGACAACTTAATTAAAGTGTGGGCATTTTTCTCGGGTTTTCTTTGCTGAACACATATGTCTTGTTAATGTATGCTGAGAGGCTTTCACATGAACTTAAAGGTTATTAGATTTAAAACATTAATATAACAACAAACTATTTGCTATGTAAAGTGGAGTCATGGTGTCCTGAGCAGAGAATGGTGTCACTCTCCCTCTGCCTGTGTTACTATCCGCTCTGTGGTTTGTTTCCATAGCCGGTCTGCTCTGAGAGCAGCTGAGTAGAGCCACTGAAACTATCATCTATATGAATTAAGGATTTATTTTGACCAAAGCAGACTAACAAGACTGTTTTTGGTGAGTTTTGTTTTGTTTCTGTCCACTTTGACTGAAGTTACAATTTTATGATGATGTGCAAGGTAAAAGACCATTTTTGTCTATGGAGTCTGGTGGGAGACAGCCATATTATGGCTATTAAGATCTATCTCTGTAGGGATAATTTGCTTAATGTTGTCTGACGCTTAGAATAACAGTCTGAGCCTGACAGTGGCAGAAAAAGCAACTTTTCGTGGACGTAGCTTACATTGCAGCTCTTTTCACAAATATTTTTGTGATTTTCTAAAAGTAATTATTTTTGTATTGATTCATAATTAATCAATGAATTGCTTTTTCAGACTAGTGATGTAATGCTTCTTGGTCTAATGTCATACATACAACTGGAATACTCAATTGCAGCAGTAACTACCCAGTATCACGCTGATACACCAGTTTCTCTTCAACACAGCAGAAAACAACTTGTAAAAAATGATTCTTCAAGCAGAGCTGAAACGATTAATTAATTCATTGATTGACAGAAAATGAATTGGCAACTGTTTTGATAAGGGATCTGTCAGTTCCAAGCATAAAATGACAAACATTATGTAATTCCTGCCTCTCAACTGTGAGGAATTGTGCCTTTTCTTTTTCTTATGTATAAACTGAACTTCTTTGGTCGAACGAAGCAAATCATTTAAAGATAAATGAAAGACAATGAATCAAATTAATCAGTAATGAAAATAATCTTTTGTTTCAGCCCTGCTATAAAGGACCCAAGGGGCAAATGGTAAATGGACCTGTATTTGTATAGCGCCTTTTGGCCACTTACAGCGCTTTTACATTACAAGCCACATTCGCCCTTTCACACAGTGATGGCCATCAAACTGAAGCTCTTTCTCAAATCTTTGTTTTCCAATCATATTGTATATCACATGATGTGAAGCTGTATTAATGCCTAAAGGAAAGGAGAGGCTCTTTTTGCAAAAATTCTATTACACCAAACATGGATCTCCGGGTCTTCTTCTAACACTTGAAAATCCAGTTTCACTGCTTACTCTTGTCAGTTTGATACTTTTTCCTTTAGCTATCTTCCACAAGGAGGTCAGAGGTCAAGGTGGAAGGGATTCACAGTTTTCATGGCCACCCCAGTATTGTGTGAATGTTCAGGGTCAAGCAGTTTAAAGATGTTCTCTTGTGTTTCCAGCTTACTCACACTCTGTCCTGGCTGAAGTCCCGTCCTCTCCGGAGCGCTTGGGCCGGTCGTAGGCGAATCCCCAACACACATCAGTGCCACACAGGACTGACAGGATCCAAACCAACTGAGACAACAACAACATACTCGACATTAGAACATCATTTATAGAACTGCTTCAGGCTTATCAAAGGACAGGAGGTTTATTCTCCATTAGACAATATACTACACAGTACTTTTGAATTATTCTGGTCAGTTCTCCCTGTTTGTTTTTATGTAACATTACTTTTTTTATTTTGGAATTTGTTGGCCTTAAAAAAAGTGAGCCTTCTGTAGGCTGCAACAATATTTTCAAATTAACATTTTAGCATAAATGAACACACCACAGATAGATCATAGAGCCCTTCCTTCACTGCAGTTGGTCTAACACAGGTCCTGCTCATTGCATTTTCTCGATGACCTGTCAAGACTACTGAGGTGCTTAGTTCAAAGTGAATGGGGACCACCCGCATCCGCATAACAATCGCCTTAGTTTGACGAACGGACAGAATCTGCAATTGTTCTGCAAATGCTCAGCAGCAGGGAGGAGAGAGGAAAGAATGGGGGTTTCGGGAAACAGAAGCTAAGGAAACCAGGAGAATGTCCTTTCGGCCACAATGAATAACGCCAACTACTAAAACACACGGCTAAATGCGCAATTACGCACGGGTTTACGCACAGCCATGTCTCTATTCAGAAGGGACCTACAGCTCAAACTTGTAGGCACGGACTCTTACCGTACCAGTTTCTGCAGCAACATGTTCCTCTCTGTGCCGGGCTGAGCGTAGTCCTGAGTGCTGTAGGTCGGAGAGTGAGTGATGCTGATTCCGAAGCAGAGGGACCACCAGAGAGGAGGACCGTTGAAGAGAACAGGAGGGAGAGAGGGGGAGGTGACTGAAAGGTGCGCACCGGATTCTTATTGGTGTTGGGCAGGAGGAGGGCTCTTATCTTAGCCAGGATTTAGATAATACAGGACAGTGCCTGAATTGGACCAGGAAGGAAGATGAGGATTTAACTTCATATAATCAGCCTGCAGAAAGCCATACTGTAGAGGTCGCGGCAAATGCCTGACATATATCAGTTTGAATGAATTCAATGAACACAACTGTATGAACAGCAACAATATCATTCCACTGCGGCTTCAGCAGATATAATAGAAGACTTGTAGGCTAATCTAACTAAACAATAATAAATTGTCATATTAAAAGGTGGTTTATAGCAGCGGTTGTTGGCGGCAGTATTTTCCACACTGGTTCTAGTTCTGGTACTTTGGTGGGGAAAAATAATAATATCTTCTCTTTTGCTCCATAACACAAAGCATTAATAGTACTGTCGCTACTATTTAACCATACGCAAATCATCACAGACAGACAGGTAGACAGACAGGTAGACAGACAGGTAGACAGATAG